TACACATTCAGATATACCTGATAACAGCCAGTAGAAGACTACACCAAAATATATTTTTGACTTATTGAACGGACGCTAATTTGATCAAAATAATTTCTGTTTTTTTTCTTCATATGTTGTTGAGGGGCCAAAGAAAGACTTCAGACGAAAAAAATCCAATATTCTTCCTATTTTTCTTGGATCGGGCTTTAAAGGGTTAAGATATAGAACAATTTAGTGGCTAATTCAAGGGAAAAAGTTTCTCAGATTGGTGGTTTATTCCGCCGTGGCTCCGACCTTGAGCTGAGCGTTTTCCTTCCTCTATTCGTGTGATCTCGCTCTATAGAATAAGTGTTGCTCTCGTTACCTGTCGCTTCTGAGCTGAATTGGCTTTCAGCAGCTGGTGGGATCGGGGATGTGGGGGGGGGGCAGTTTTGGCCACATTGATTCAGTTTGATGTCTTTATTTTGGCTCCATCTTTGTCAATAGTCGGTAAACACCAACTATCCCGGGTTTTTTTCTGCTAAAAGACATCAAAACTAGTGCTCATTGGTTAATTTTACTGGTTAAAATAAACCTGTGTGTCAAAAGGAAGAGGAGAAGGCTGCTTTCCGTTTTGTATTTTTTTGCTTAATTAAATCATTGGAATAGACCAATTGCAAATTAATATAATTTCTTATGTGGAGTTTTTATTTATCTATATTATTTAGATAAATATGCGGATGGGTTTGGTACATTTTTAACCAAACTTGTGTCTTACAATGTTAACATCTTCCATTTTTTTCCAGCAGTCCTCGTAAAAATGGCTGATCTGACGAAGATTAAGCAGATAAATTATACGGTTGTTTTGTGAAACAGCGAAAAAAAGTCTTTGGCAAAAGGTTTACACACCAAATAATGTTTAAATATGTCTGTTCAGGTGTTTTCAGAGTGACAAAAAGCTGAGAAAAGAAGACCTGAGCACAAACCAACACACAAGGAGAAATTTCAACAGCTAAATAATTCACTTTTTAGATGACGAGAAACTTTAGTCGCCAAAAGTCACATTCCAAAAAAATTTAAAACTTGAAAGAAAGAGGAAAATAATTAAAGGTTTTATATTATTCTTTAATGATGCTGGAATGTGAGGCTTTGATAGGCCATTGATGAAAAACAAAAGATGGATGCAGATTATTTGTTCAGTGTCCCATCATGACATCACTTCCTTGTTCCTGACCCATGTGACTGAGCTGGCCAATCAGAAGCTTGCAGGAACAATACAACAGTTTGCGAAGTCCAAACTCACACAGATGTGAAGATATTCCATGTTTTGACCTCTGAACTTTGCAGTTTTCTCAGGAAAACTACAAGTCCTCGTTTATGACAAAGCATGTGTTTAATTAAATAACCAGTCGGTTTTTAATGCTTCGTTCTTTAGCATCTAAGATTTCATAACAAACATCCATCCGTCTCCTTTCTGCTTCAAGGAGAGGCTAAAGCTCTCTGACTCCAGCTGCATTAACAGCGTAACCTTAAAAAAAGCTCATTAAAGCGACACACATCCTCTTTATGTGAGAGAAAATAAAGGAGTTTCAGTTTGAATGAGAGCATGCGTGAACTCGAGAGTCTGACAGAGGAAAAACGTGCTCAATGGTAAAGTGTTTGCATGTCGTTCTTCCATCAAGGTTACCACGCACACTAGGAGAACGCTTCTCGGTTTTATTCGACGGATCTGAAATTCCTCTCAGCTGCTGAGCGGCCTGGAATTAAAAGGAGAAGCGGTGAGGAGAAAGTCTTTTGAATCATCTGAATCCTCCACAAAGAGCTGAGGACAAGACAAGACTCCTGAAAACTTTCCCTCAAAGAGCTCAACATCTGATCTCCAGAGATGTATAAAGTACTGGAGTAGAGGAGTTGAGAATAAGTACAAGTACTATATAAAAAAATTGACTTGAGTGAAAGTAGAAGTATTCTTTCAACACTATACTTAAGTGGAAGTACAGAAGTACTCAATGTGATAGATAGATAGATAGATAGATAGATAGATAGATAGATAGATAGAT